CTGAAACGGTGATTTGTCATTTTTTATTATTCAAGCGTGATGGACTGCCATCTAATGGAAATCGTTTAAGAATTTTCTTGAATAAATCGAAATTGTAGATATACAGTAATAAGCAATTCTGAAAGAGTTCATCATGACGTCACGATGCTCGCAAGGCAGACGAAAAAAGAAAAAGCTTCAAAATTCAAATGCTGCCAACCATTCCGCAGAAACTTGTTTAAAACTTCAACTGGGCGACATTTTCGCTCGAAAGAAAAAAAAAAGCTTTAAAAATGCATCAAGTACAGTACTGTACTCGGTTTCGTGGCTGAGGAAAATACGAGAAAATCGGAGAAAATCTTTGCGGAAATGCAAGAAATTGCGAGACTTTGCGGATGTGTTCGAGGTTAAGCAGAATGAACGCCCATGAAATCCCACGATACTGTTTCTGGTTGGTGCTGAGGAAACGATGAGAAAAAGAGATAAAAACGAACGATTCGCAGCATTGCACCAGAAGTGCAAGGCTGGTGTTGCCGCTGTGTTCGGTCGACTGAACAATCCGTCGCAAAACCGCACAGGCTTCCACCAACAATCATCATTATCATCGTCATCCAAAACCCGTGTTTACTCTCTCTCTTTTTTTTTCTAAATCATCCTTCGCTGTTTTGGTCTCTTCCTGGTTATTCCATCGGACCACCACACCATCACCACCAGCAGCAACAGCAGCACTGCGAAACTAGGGAACATTTGAAACCGAAATGGCTTATCAATCCATCTCCGCTGGAGAGGGGGAAAAAAAAAGTGGAAGAAACTTTGTGGTTGTCAGTCGAGCAATGAGTGATGGTTGATGGGTGTTTGAGCAAGGCCTCATTCCTTGCCACACTGGGTGTGGAGAAATTCCTGCCATTTAACCGGTTGACAAGCCAGCTTCAACGATCCAGAAAGTCCTTTTCCGCACCGGAGTCCTTGGCGAAAGCAACACTTCTTTTTTTTCTTCGCTTTCCAAAGAATTCAATTCGAAAGTTTCAAATGTCAGGAAAACTGGCTTCGCCACTCCTTCCGTTCAATCATGTTCCATTGAAATACAGGCAAACCGCCGTATTTAGTCAAATGTCGATGGACCGGCAAAAAAAACATTTACTTTGGGAGTTTTTGAGTTAGGAAAACAAGTATTTTTATTGGAGGAAACGGAAGAATTGTGGAAAATAATAAATGGTGATATGCTGGGCCTTAAGCTGTTCCTTAAATGATTTGACAAGATGCTGCACTTTTTGGGATTAGCAGGGGTTAATTTACTCAATCATCCTTGCCACTCCCTTGCAAAACACGTCAATTTGCACAAAACAAGCACAAAAAACAGTTCTTTAAATCACTCTCTGGGTTTCAAGTGAAATATTCCGATACTTTCGAAAATGTCATCTTATGCAGAATATTCATACTGTACAATTGGACAATCCCAGTACAATTTTCTGCACCAGCTCGTAATTTTTGTTTATAAACGCCCATTGTTGCCTTTCAAGGAAATGCGATATACGAGAAAATACTGCGGGTTTAACGGAGAAATTATCACTTATTTGCCACACAAAAATTTATTGCAGATTATTGAAAATGTGAGAATATATTGCATTTCTTTTTTTTAATGAAGAGGTTGGGCATGGTGCGATGAAAAAGGTTTTTACTTCACTTGCTGAAGAATGATTATGTGAGCTCCACAATCGAGTCTTTTTTTATCGAATTACGTTTGAATTTAACTTTTTCCAATTAGGGCCATGGGGTCAAGCTGTTGTTAGGAATCAAGGCAAATTATGGGGTGTGAAAATTAATTTTACGGAGTTGCCTGTGATTACGTAGTACTGTCTTCAATACTTTTTCCGGACTGCGCACGATGAAAAAATATCCCCTGCCAAATATATCAGTCACTAATTAAAAATGGAAATTTGTCTTTCAATTTGGTAGTGCTGTTCTTTTTTTTTTTTCCTCGGATGTGTAGATACATTATTTCATATCGAAGTCGATGAGATAAAACGAGTGACAAATGCTGGTGTCTTGCCGTCAGTGAAATACCTCACGGCTTCGCTTTTTCATTTATCTGTGGTTTTCCGAAATAAACCAACATCAGGTCTTGCTGATCACATCATCAGCCAGACACCGGAACTAAAGTTTTGCGCAAACAAGCGTGACTCTAAATCCCCTCCGCAGTATTTTGAGGTTTTGTGTTCGGAACAATTTCTGCTGCTGCTGACGGCGAAAAAGCAATTCTGCTCCCGTCTCTTCCTTGTAAACAAGCTACAACAATCCAAAGCCTGCAACCAAACACCGGAAAAGGGCAGTTTTTTTTTTTTTACAAATCCCGACGCAAACATGGAGCATAACAAGGTGCCTCGAAAAGGAACCAGGAAGAAATTTGGCACCTAATCACACTCGAACCACAAAAAACGTGTCAAGACTCCGGTTCATCAACCATACTAATGAGCACATCACTGACTCACACACACAAAAAAAAAAGCTGCTCTGCATAAAATGTTTGTTAGTTTTTTTTTATTTTCTCCGTCTTATCTGTTATTGTGCAATGTCCTCATTTTCTACTCCTCACAGCCGTAAAGTAACCATGTCTTGATCGTTTGGCCAGTCACCACCAACACGACCCGATGGTAAATCAAACCGATGATGACTCGGAATGCGCGTCTTTCCGTGTTCCGGAGAAAGTACTTTTTTTTTGCCTGCGTTTCCGTGTCATCACCCCGTAGTTTGACAGAAGATCCGGCGTCCGAGAAGAAATATGATAAACGAAAAAACTTTGTTTTCTTGCTTGCAGAAACCCACCGAGTGTTTATTGGGCAATGTGCGAAGCTTATTGCGCTTGCGAAGACTGTTTAGAAACTGTCGGTTTTGTGCATGTTTCCGGTCGAGCGAAAACCGTGTATAAGCAGGCATTTGCAATTCATCTTAACCCGATCTTTTCCAAGGGGTGAGGAACATTCTGACTTTAAAATTGGCTGTGAAAGACAGGCGACTCAAATAAAAAAAACTCAACTCCAAGGAGTTCGAATAAATGTATTCTAATTAAGAGCATAACGTAGCATTAAATTCCTGCTTGTTCAGGAATATTTTTTTATTCTTTTTTAAATGCAACTTGAATGATGAGCCCTGCCGAAGACTTTCATAGAAGATACGCAACATCAGTAAAAATTTGATCATAATTTTTTGAACACGAAATTTTTCGAAAATCGTTATTACGAAGAACAACGTAAATTTAATTATTCGAGTAAAGCTAATCTTGCATCGATGAATTTCAGAGCTGTCTACCGTCTCCGTGGCAAAATTTCGTTTGTTTTCACTTCCATGAATTGATTTGAATGTATCCCTTCAAAGAAATTTACTCGGATAGGATTCAAGTATGTCAAGTTTTGTAAATTTGAATTAATTTTATTTTTTAAATCAAAAAAAATTTCTTGTAGTCACAGTTATATGAGCTATTTCTGAAAATGTAAACAGATTTGCGAGAATGCTCCCAAAATTTACATTGAAGACTCACATCACCAGCCTTATGTCGATTGGGGGGGGGGGGGGGAATCGAAAAATGCAACGACATAAAACATACAGGAAACCCAGGTGGAAAACATGAGACCCTTTGATCGCAATTACTTCTTTGAAAATGAACGAAGAACGCTTTAAAAATGGATGACGGGAAAGGGTTTCTTTCTTTTTAGCACTCGATATATGGGTCTAATGGATATTTTGGATTAAGAGAATTTTCAGATTATTTTCAATCCCCTCCTTATTTGACCAAACTACTGTTATAGAGACCTGCTATATCAGTTGCTTCAAGCTTTTCTTTGGCCTTTATGGAAGACAGGCCTCTATTGGAGAGCAGGCGTTTATTAGAAAACAAAGTGGCATTCACCACCTATATTCAAGATGTGCGCATCATTTTCTCAAGCTTTGTATTCCATCAGAACGATGACTGACGTCTTTGCCATACAACACTTTCGGAACTTCCTATCATGTTAAAAAAAGCGCTTAAATTAACTAAAACAATGTAGCGCTTAAGTGGCTTTTGTCTTTCTTTTTTGTTGCTGAAGTTCTATACTTGGAATTGATGCGCAATACTGAACACCTAGACAAAGTTCAAAGGAAAGGAAATCTGCGCAACCGGAGTCGACAAACAAAGTCGTGACGCAACTGAGTTGGGTGACAAATGAGCAAAGTACGCAGCAGCTTCCTGATCAAGACGAATCCAACATCCCAGCTTCTAACAACAAGTTGCACAACTTGTTTCCGGGGTCCCGAGGCGTCAATCAAATGCAAACAATTCTCCTCGGAAGTAATTTTTTTTTCTCTTTTCTTTTTGAAACCAACAAAACGTGCTCAAGTTCTGCATGCTGCTGCCCCCTCGGAAAATAAACTGAAACCCCAGGTAAACAAAATAAGAAGGAAAAAAATATTCCGGAAGAGAAAATATTTATTTGGAAAATATTTACGCGCGAAGCAATTCCTTTTAAATTTCGACATGCTTCAGCACAGATATCAATCTTGAAATTCTCGTCTGCTATCTCGATGTTTTTCACGAAAAATTGCTTGGCAACTATTCAAACCCAATTCTTTTATACTGTATACTGTATTTTATAGAGGGTTCGCATCGCTTTCGAAGAACGCGTCGAGAAACTCATCAGCATTTTCGCGACATTGACCCTGAACGAAAACGATTATCAGTTATATAATCTCATCGAAGAGAAAAACAGAGAAGGAATCCAGAACTTTCCCAGACAATAATGTGATTCCAATTCCTAGCATATTTCCAAGGCTCTTCCAGAAAACACCGCAGAATTTTTACCCAGAAAACACAGGGAAGAAAGTCACGTCTCATCGCGTGAAATATTTTAATTCAAAAATATGAAGCTTTGCGATAGAATCTTTCGTGGTCGGTTCAAATCCATTTATTTCGGGACTCTGTGATTTATAAAACTTTATTATTTTTTTTGCTTTTCCAGCTGAGGGCTGGCTTTGACCTGTAGACTGACCTGGTTCAGAACCCGGTTTGAAAATCATGACGGTGTTCCCCATCGTCGTGGTGAAGTCCAAGAAGCCATAAACTGTTCTTGTGGCATATTCGACGCTTGTCAACGCTGGAAAGTCCGATTCGGCAGTTTGGAACAAATTATTTGGGTCGAAGTAAACTGGACTTGCTCCTCCATCAGCGGCTTCCGAAAAAACTGAAAATAAATAAACAAAATCCATGCTTGAAGGACTCAGTAAATAATACAAATTTCCCAGAAAAAATTGAGATCATGCATTGATTTCGAGAAAAAGAATACAGTAGTTCATCAAGAACTCAGAAATTGTAAAAATTTTTCCATGATTTCTCAGGATGATTCACGCGGAGCAAAAACCTGCAAATACAGTACTTCGAATACAGTACTGTATTCTCTATTTTATGCATGAAGTTTACGTCCAGACAAATTCGGCATGAGCGAATCAAAAATTAGTTTCAATACTTTCAACAATTGATTGGCACGTAACCCAGGACTATTATACATGCAACTTTTCGACTTTTTTTTCGGAAGACTCCTGTGTAATTTAACCAGAAAAAAATTAACTGAAAACAATGATACAAGAATGGCTTTCTTGAGGATGCCACTCATTCATTTTAAATTTCAAATGTAACGGCTCTATTGATTACTTGCAGATGCTGTCCGTGAAATGTCATGATTTTTATTTTTTCACATCATTTTTAGCTTTATTTGGTAATGATTGTCGGATATGTTCATGTTATACCGAATCCTCAAATTCACTGGAATTTATTACCCCTCATTAGTTTGCATAAATTTCCCAATCGTCTCTGGGAAACTATAAAGAAAGGGTATGCAGATTTTTTTTTATTATTACGGCATGCTTCTTTTAATTTTTCGCGCATTTTCCATTTCTCCTAATTGAAGATTTGCTTCATTTTCGACGAATGACTATGGTTGATTTTTACATTTAACTCGAGAATACTCGTACTTTCAAACTGAAAACAGATTCCAAACCCGAAAAACAATCGAAATTATGAAAATAATCTTCAAAATTTGGACCTTTGCAGTCGTTCATTCATATTCCGAGGAAAATAGCCCACAAATTTGCGAGGAAAATCCTCCATCGAATCAATCAATTGAAGACTCCAGCATCCTATATAATGAGTTGATCAGTTCACGAAGGCTGTTCCGCGATGCGAATCGAGCAGAATGGCGAAAAATAAATAAATGAAATGTAATTTCGAAAGGCCAAACACGGAAGGAAAGACTACCAAAAAAAAAGGCAAGCCAAATAACGCAGTCGACCTCGCCTTTTTTTTTTTTTTCCTCGACGACCGGCAACATGGGTCATTACACATCAGGGACCGACCCTGAAGACAACAATAATATCGAGAAGGAGTGTAGTGTGATATAATGGCAGAAGGTCGGATCCTTATCACGCTTCATTCATCTGATCGCGGCCGAATCGAGCACGTGTTGTCGGATTGTGGGCGGATCGCATCATCAGCGAAGCCCCGATCGAAAAATCCCGACAAGAAGAAGATTGGAAAGTCATCTTCGTGCCTTGATTAAACTCGGGAAAGTCGTTAGAAAAATTATGCTTTCTTATTTGGGGAGGAAAAATTGCCTCCCAGTATATTTCCTCTTGGCTTGCTTGTGGTTTTTTACAGCAAGATTGCTACATATCGCCATCATTCTCAGGCGAATAATTTCTTCGTGAATATGGTTTATGCATGAGCAAGGGAAAGACTCTGTGGAAATGCTTTTTCCAATTCACTACTGCACTGATAACTTTCATCAGTCGTGGAGCGAGAATAAAACACAAAAGCAGACTTCATAATATTCTTCCCGGCATTTTGGTAGTCTGAGTCGGAGAAAATACATTTTTCGGATTTTATAATCCATTTAAGGTATATTCACGCACGGTTTTGGTTTGACATGCCTATGGTTAAAACATGAAAATATTTGATACTTTACAGTTACACCTTTCTAAATGCAATCATTCAAAAATGAATAAAAAATATCAAAGCTAAGTCATTACTCAAGAGCAAGGTGATGGACTCGAACATAAATGAGATATGTTGAAGGAAAATTCAAGAGGTGACAAGAAATAGGATAAAATTGAGCAATATTTCGGGAAAAATGCATGTAAATAAATTGGAAGATCAAGGACAGGGAACATTTTCCAACTAAATACTAAAATATGACGCATTTTAAAGAAAATCCAGAAGATACAAAATATTACTGTTTTTCTCTTCCCCGGGGCATTTATTTCTTGCATCATTTTCCCCTTTAAAATGCTTTCTTTTCGGAATTTTTTCATTGTAATTTTTTCCATCCCACGGGTTTTCTTCTGACCATGATTTCGAATAATTCCCATCGCTCCAGTGAAATGTTAGAACCCCACTCATTAAACTTCAAAGGTTGAATACGGTTTTCTTGGTCGTTCATGAACCCCTGGGAACTGCTTTTAACTAAATTGTGGTAGCAAAAATTAAAATAACACATTTCCCGGTTGAACTCGTACAGTTCATCTGGATAAATCGTTTCATATGCATAGTTGTAATGGTACCGTTGTAAGTTGAATCTGAAAAGAGAAAAAAATAATCTTCTATGTGGGCAGCTGTTCGCAGGAAAGAAAAGTGACGCATTCTCTCAACATAACGGATTCAACATACAATGCGCCGAAGTAAGACCGTCAATGGAGAATAAATCACGACTCACCAAAACATCGATTCAACAACACTCACTCATTTAATTTTTCTTTTCTTCTTTTACTCTTTTATTCATTTTTCAACGGATGAAGGTCGCGTCAGTCATGAAATTTTCTTGAATGCGACGTAACTACAGCCTCACGTCGGAGCGACAAAAAGCAGCACCCCGGGTGAGTAAAAAAAAAAAAGGAATTCTGCGCACATTTTATTCTCTGGTATCGAGCTCTGAATCGAACCTCTTGTCCAAAATTAGAAAATTGCACTGAAAAAGAAAACACAATGGAAAAAAAAAATCAGCGTGTGCAAGGTTTCATATTGAAGAAAATAAATTGCTGATCACTCTCGGATTCAACTCCGCAGTTGCATGATTTACTCGTGGAAACGGTTACGCAATGTTGCGTTCTTAATATTTTTCAATCTTCGAAGCAGTAAATATTTCACCGGTTCATCATTAAAAAATCCGGTAGCGACTCCGAACTGTTCTAAAGGGCACAATTTGACTTGGTCTGCGGTTCTGCAATTGACTATGAAAGTAAGAATTTGGATTCTTATGTGCCAACACTATAGAGCTTAACGGAAAAATGTATTCGAGATTTATTGATCATCAGAGAAAAAGTATCGATTGTAAACGAAGAAAAATGCAAAATATCCTTCGTCCCAGTAGTTATCTGTGATTAGGAAAGCTTCATTTTTCAGCGGCGAAAATAATTATTCCCCCTCATCATTTTTGCAAATACATTCACGATAATTTTTGAAAACAATTTCTTCGCAGACTGACTTTTTTTCTCATGACATATAAGAAAGTATGTTCTCAGTTGGGTATAGGAAAATATTTTACAGACACCCGGAATAAGGGCAACCATAACAACGACAAAAACCCTTGCATCCCGAAAAAGAAACATTTGCAAATATTCTTTCGTGGTCCATTTTCAAATACAAGAGTTATTCATACATTTGCAACTGGTGAAAATAACCACGAAATCGGACAAACTTCAAAAGATGAATACATGAACTTCCCCTTGGCACCAGTTTACTATGATAATCGTTGAAAATTATCAAATCAATCATATATCAAATCAATTAAAAGGATGTTCTCAGTACAGTATATCGAATCATTTTTTATCTTTCCGAAACACTTTTATGGAAACAAACTATTTTACAGTAGAGAGCAATCGATTAATATCGAAGTCAAGTTGTTATTCTTCATATTGGCACCTGCAGTGGTAAATTGAATAATGCGTTGGTCGTAATTTTTCTAAGACTGAAAACGTTTGACAATAATTGGCAGAATGAGTAATTAGCTTGCTCAAAACAGATTTGTGCTGCAAAATTTTGAGAAGCTACAGAGGCCGAAAGATCTATAAATAATCACTCATATCTGGAAAAAAACCGGCAATTCGACAAGCTCAGTTCGGCAAAATCCGGAAAAGTTGAGTCTCCATATATTAATCCTCGGATTTCGAGTCCGCTGATCCGGGATGATTTAAAATGGAGTAACGATCCCGCAAATAAGACGACTTAATTTTTTCATTACATAACCTCGCTTCATGAGCTTGAATTCTTTTCTTTCCTCTCGTTTTGGAATAATCTTCCCTCGTTTTATCGAGCTAAATGTTCTCCGTACCTGCGATGAACATGTGACATTACAAGTGGAAATAGAGCTGCTGTGAAACGAGTCCTTATATCGCCACTTTGTTGAGAACAGTCGGACTGATCTGAAGTACTTCAATTAAGTCGGAGTTTGCACGACACAGACAAATCGTGATCCGAAATCCGGATTTGTACAGTAACTTCCCTTTGGATTTAGGCTTACTCTTAATTCTTTCGTAGCAAGAAATCTGGATCAGCTCGTGGCGACCTTTGTTCAATGGTCCGCAAATGAAGTGAGTTGTCGTGTGTGCAATGTCCCTGACCGGCACAAAAGCGAGACTATCAGTCAACAAGAAATTTCTAAAATTCAATATTAAAATAATGCGCTTCAATTTTTCGTCTGTAGAGTGTGGGAAATGTATCAGAATTGAAGGTCTGCGTATTCCCAGATTCCCTTCTGTTTTTGGCCATTCTGGTGTTGGACCTTTGTTCCTCATAAATTCACAAGTTTCCAAACAAAATTAAATTTATATTAAACCTGGAAGTTTTTAGAGATCGCGCCGACATTTTTCAAACATCCTTCCAGCCACGATGAATTATAATTTTCATTTGAAGCTTGGAATTTCAGCGGAACATGTTCGTATTAACCTGAGAATTATACACGACTTAAACTCAAGCATAATTTCCAGGCACTTCTCTTATTAAATGGATCTGGAATCGCAGGCCATTTCAATGCAGATATTCAGTTGGCACAGTAAAGTACGGAGATCAGTTCAGCCACATGACGCATCAACCACAGAATCTTGATTTCATTTTTCTGGCCATTGTAGTTCACTTTTCAGTTGCGAAATCTTGAATTATGTCGCCATTTTCGGATCGTTTCGTGCAAAATACCATAAATGTTGCGAGC